GTAAAAATTGAGTTCATTGTGTATCAATCCTTGTTTGTTTAAGTGGTAGTATTCTTATTGTAAACTACGCCTTCATTAAAGAGTGGATGCAATAAGTAAAGCTAGAATAAGAAATCTCAACTCTACCTTACAAAAAAGAAAACTAGACAAAAAAAAGGTAAAAAATAAGTTTATGGATGCTAACACATTATTTATCATGCTGTCTATAGTACACCACTGTAAATGATGACAAAGTTTGTTTGTATCTATGCAGCAATACCACGCAACATTTTACAAAATGCAATCACTTCTTGATCCCACCTACATGCATCACAGAGCAAAACATCGTTGTCTTCATTACAATCCCATGTTCGTTCCATTCTAATGCAAGGTTGTTCATGGCAACAAGTGTTTGTTTGTCTAACAAGATAATTGTTGATCCACATTGTTCGAATAATCGCTTTCGTTCTTACCCGACACTCTTGTATCCTCAAACTTTTTGATTTTGAATTCACTGCATTTAGAAGCTTTAGGCCCTGTTGAGTTGATTCACCACCAGTGCACAGTNATTTGATTTTGAACTCTTCACTGCATTTAGAAGCTTTAGGCCCTGTTGAGTTGATTCACCACCAGTGCACAGTAGGATAATACCATACACATATGATGCTTCTATGTGTCCCTTATCTGCTGCTCTCTTGAGATACTCTAGTCCTGATTCCATTCTCCTGTAACTAAAATATTCAACCTGAACTAAGCATAAAATTGTTATCAGCACCTTAGTTTTAGGTCAAACACTCCTCTTACATCGATATATTATATATCTACATTTACATATACAAATATATAGGCATATACATGTCTATAAAAATATTGTACTTCTTTGAAGTTTTTATTTATTCTGTTAAACTATCATCAACGTATGTCCAAGGAACGAAATTTCGATCTGAAACGTTTAAAATATTTTCGTTTTTACGGAAATCGAAACGAATCATTAATTAAATATTAAAATTCTTATGTTACGAGGTGTTTCGATAGGTTTCGAAGTGTTTGGGCATGTTTCGGTATGTTTTGACTAATAAATTTTTTAATTTTCTTTGTTTTCATCTTATTTTTGAAATATTTTTAAAACATTATTGAAATATTTTCATTTTCAAGCTCACTAAAACTATACATTAAAACAAAATTTTGATTTTTACATATCATAAAGAGCTAGAGAGAGATGGTAGCTTGCTAAAATACTACTGGCAAACATATAAGTGGGGCTCAGAAAAACAATAGAAATAATGTGGGGTTTATATTTACCTATTACCATCTTTACAAGCATGAAATAAAAAGACTGGATGCCCTACGAAAGTGGGATAACAAAGAGGAAACGTGAGTTAGGGAAGAAAGAAAGTACGTAACGTAAGAGCTTACCAGGCCTTGTCTGTAGAGTGCCTCAGGGTTTCCATTATCCTTGCAGCGATTTAAGAAGGCGACGACTTCATCCCTTGTGAACCACGGAATCACTGGGAATCTGTTGATCGATACGTGTTCAAGGATATAATCTTCATCTGCTGCTCCAAGAAAATCTCTGCAGCTGTGTGGAACAAAAAATAACAACATTATTTAATCGAGTATTAGACAAATAAATCTTTTACACGAAGCCCGCTGGTGAGAGAGAGAGAGAGAGCAATCAGCATAGCAATAGACTTTTTGTACGTTTGCATAGGTAACTATATGAGAGCTGGTGTTGACACAATGGTTAAAATCACAAGAACAATCTCTTTAGAATAACATTGCGTATATATAATTTTTTCTTAAACCTACCTACACTGGGGCTGTTTTTCGAAGTATATGTAGCTATATGTAATATTATGCCTGCATGTGTATAATATTTTTCATGTTTTGTTACTACAGAAGTACAAAACATTACAAAAAAGGAGGACGAAGAAACAGTATGAGGTTAAGGTATATTACCATAACTTGGCGTTGAAGAGATCTGTAAAGGAAGAGGAGGCAACCCGAGCAAGAACATCGACCAACAATTCTTTTGGAAGAGATTTAATGGCCAGATCATTGAGCTTTCTCGTGGTTTTTTTTGTTTTTATGGTTTTGGATCTTCCAGTTCTTGTTCTCCTCCCTGTCTTTGAAGACCCATAGCTTCTCGAGAGGGAGAAGTTAAACATTACAAGAAGAGTAGGGGGTAGAAAACTCCAATTCTTAGAGAAAACGAAAGGTATATGGGTTATATATTATTGTATGTATCAGACTTTTTGGTAATTAAAACAGCTTCCAATATTTTTTACAAATCCTAATGGCAACAGGAAAAGGAAAGAGAAACGAGAATTCCAAATTGAGGTCAAATTTGATACAGAATTTGAAACAATGTCAACACACTTGAACTCCTTAGTTTCTAATTAATATCCCGTACTATTTTTAAGGAAACTTAGAAGAGTATAGGCCTGAGAATTATACTGTTCTACTTTTTTGCTTTTTTAATTATAATATTCTTAATTACAGGCCCAACGCGATAAACAAAGCCTTTTTTATTCCATTATCATGCAAATATTATTAGAGTAATGCTATTCGGATCTAAAAATCTGACCTAATTCACTATGACTTTTAGATTGACTGCAGAGTCTATCAAACATTGAAATATGGTGTTGATCCAATGATTCTTATTAAGTGATATCATTATGTCAGCAAATTAGGTCAAATTTTTAGGTCCAAAATAAAATTACTCATATTATTAATAGTGATTCTGATGAGATTAACTCATAATTGAAGGATTCAGATTGTGGCACTGTCATCTCTTTCTTTTTTTTAAATGATTAGAAACCTTCTAATATAGTAAACATCACCTGTAATTACTGCTAACAATAAATATTGAATAAATTTGTAAGTTACCTATAAAGGTCGAATCTAAAATGTCTTAAATTTACAGTTTGCTCCATACTAACCCCACAGCCCACACAACTGTTGTTGTCTTAATACGATGGTTAAGGGATGGCTCCCTAGCCAACAAGAAAAAAATGGTTCGAAAGGTTCTTCTCTTACAACAAGCAAGGTCAGATTAATACTTCTCTAAATAGTGGACTTCCGTGAACTCCACATTCACCATTCCTACGGCAAGTGTCTTCAAGCGAAATTAGCGATGAAAGATTAGCTAGAAACCCCAATATTAGCATCAAAGATCTACTTGGACTCACGAACCTGAGCAAGATAAATGCATCTCTACTCACCGAGGACAAACCAATAATCTCCTCCGTTGCCAAAAAATAAATACTTGGCGGTTTTTTTGGCAAAATTAAAATTCTAGTTCACTTACCCAAAAAAATACGAGCACTTTATGAATAAAATGCTTATGTTGCAGTTTTTTTTATCAGCATATTGCACTTCGAGAAGTTGTTTTGAATGTAGGTCCATACATCCTCTACAACATTAGACTGCACAAAGTGGAAACCAACATAGACCAAAATTCTAGCCATCCATAAAAACCCGAATCTAATGATTTCACCAGGGGTTTCAAGGGAGCTTTGAGGAGAAAAAAAGTGATTACAGTCGACAATGTTATCTTTTCAGAGTTATGGTTNCTCTTCTTAATTATAGGCCCAACGCGATAAACATAGCCTTTTTTATTCCATTATCATGCAAATATTATTAGACTAATGCTATTGAGATCTAAAAATCTAACATAATTCACTGTGACCTTTAAATCGGCTGTAGAGTCTATCAAACATTGAAATATGGTGTTGATCCAATGATTCTTATTAAGTCATATCATTATGTCAGTAAATTATGTCAAATTTTTAGGTCCAAAATAAAATTACTCATATTATTAATAGTGATTCTGATGAGATTAACTCATAATTGAAGGATTCAGATTGTGGCACTGTCATCTCTTTCTTTTTTTTAAATGATTAGAAACCTTCTAATATAGTAAACATCACCTGTAATTACTGCTAACAATAAATATTGAATAAATTTGTAAGTTACCTATAAAGGTCGAATCTAAATTGTCTTAAATTTACAGTTTGCTCCATACTAACCCCACAGCCCACACAACTGTTGTTGTCTTAATACGATGGTTAAGGGATGGCTCCCTAGCCAACAAGAAAAAAATGGTTCGAAAGGTTCTTCTCTTACAACAAGCAAGGTCAGATTAATACTTCTCTAAATAGTGGACTTCCGTGAACTCCACATTCACCATTCCTACGGCAAGTGTCTTCAAGCGAAATTAGCGATGAAAGATTAGCTAGAAACCCCAATATTAGCATCAAAGATCTACTTGGACTCACGAACCTGAGCAAGATAAATGCATCTCTACTCACCGAGGACAAACCAATAATCTCCTCCGTTGCCAAAAAATAAATACTTGGCGGTTTTTTTGGCAAAATTAAAATTCTAGTTCACTTACCCAAAAAAATACGAGCACTTTATGAATAAAATGCTTATGTTGCAGTTTTTTTTATCAGCATATTGCACTTCGAGAAGTTGTTTTGAATGTAGGTCCATACATCCTCTACAACATTAGACTGCACAAAGTGGAAACCAACATAGACCAAAATTCTAGCCATCCATAAAAACCCGAATCTAATGATTTCACCAGGGGTTTCAAGGGAGCTTTGAGGAGAAAAAAAGTGATTACAGTCGACAATGTTATCTTTTCAGAGTTATGGTTGTCTGGCCATTTTGCCTACAATATGCAACTCTTTCTCCAGAATATGAAGGGCTTCCAAAATACAAAGCCAACAAAGAAGAAATATGGCAGTTAGGGATATTCCCCCCCTACAAAATCATAGGCCAAAATGCAAACTTAAGGCAAAATATACTTCCGAGCTAGCCAATCAGTGTGGATCAGTAGTTGCGTTGGTATGAGAAGTCACACACGAATGAGCAGTGCAAAACAGAACTCTTGACAGTTTTAAGTCGAGATAAGAAGCTTTAGAATACGTTGAAAACAAGAATTCCCTTTCATGCAGAAATTACCATCAGGAGGTCGAGCGCAGTTTCCAGGATATTACTCGAGGATGACTATCCTAACCATTTGACTGCACAGGTTTTTTAGAGTTATTCTTGCGGCGCACCTTCACGAAAGCCTTCTCCAATTCCTGAATAAACAACAAAATAGGTGAAATGAAGATTTTAAGGTTTGGAGAAACCAAACAGTAAAACTACTGCTACTTTTAAGTCTTTGTGCAAGTTTGACGGGTGATGCAACATTAGAACATCTCCAGCCTTTACCCTTTTTAATACTTTTTTTTTAAAAAAGGGATAAAAATACTTTTAAAAACCTTCTCTAATGCTAGATTCATACTCATAAATCCTTTTTTAAACGAAAGACTCAAATCCTCACCCTTTTCACCAATTGTGATATTACACCCTCCTTTAAAGATCCAATTGTCATATTTACCCACTTTTAAATTTGAATTTGTCCTCATTTAAAAAAAGGTTTCTCTTCTTTTAAATTTGAATTTCTCTTCCTTTAAATTTAAGTTTCTCCATTGGAGAAATCTATACTAAATCAAATTTTTTACTCTTTTTTACTCAAATTTGGGTAAGGATTTGGATCTCCAATGGAGAGGTCTAAATATGACTTTCCCATCACTAAATTCTTAAATATCTGCAAATATCTGGTATAGGGATTCCGCATGCCCATTGGCATGTGTTTTTTTTAGCCTCTGTGATCATGTACTAGAACTGAAAAATCTAACTATCATAACATGGTTTTTATTTGCTATAGGGAACCAGGAACCTTAACTACTTATACATGAAAATATGCATGTTGAGATCTTTCACCACAAGTTATCTGATCCAGTGGAACAGCTTGAAAAATATTCAGCTAAAAAACCACTTAAAAAGTAGCCTTCACATGTCACCTGAGTTTGTTCTTTGTTTGATGTCTCTGCGGTCCAAAGCCTCTCCAAATTGTAATAAGCTCTCACTTTCTCATCAAGAGCATGAACTATCAATGTGCCTAGTCAAAATATATCCACCCAAAATCAAGAAAAAATAAAGATTCAAGAAGCATTTAACAGCCACAAATTTGCTAGAGATGTTCGCCTAGCACAGATATTTAAAAAGACTCTATTATATTAATTTCCCACATTTACTTCTGCTCACAGAACGAAATTTCATCAATTCGAATATCTAAAGTAAAATTCTCATAGCCTTTACTACTCATGTTTATGACATGTTAGCTGCAAGCAAGTCAAAAAGATGGATTCCGTATCATTAGAGACATTATGTGTTATTACACACGATACAATCCATAATTCAGCCAAACAGGAAAAAAGGAAAAAAAAAAAAGAGTAAATTTAATATAGTACTTTGATTGTGATCGTCAAATAATGCTACCATTTATCTCACATTGTACATGGCATTGGAATCATATCCATGTAATAAGTCAAAAGTCATTGGCCACCAAAACTGAATTTTATTAGCATATAATACTGTGCTCCAAGGTTCTGTCTACATGCCACTGGTACATGGGGTATACCGTATACATATTTCACTATCCCACTCATAAGTGTGAGACCAATCTTCTTTTACATGATAGGCTGAGCTGGCCAATGTCTTAATTTAAGTCTTTCCAGACCTTCACACACAAACTTACCCCAATTAAAAATATCCAACAATAACCAAATCAACCCACTCCTGTGTAAAACGCATTAATCAAGTGGACTCAAAAAGAAAAGGCGTACCAACTTACCAAAGCAGGTGAAGGGTGCATGTGTGCAGCTAAGTCAGACATAATGCTGATACCCCACCAAATGGAAGAAAGACAGAAAGGCCAATGTCAAGAAATAAGAAAAGTTGTTAGCCAGTCTGCTCCTCTAATGTGCCATTCAAGCCAACACAATAACCTTAAGAAACCAACAGCACTTAGAAGAAACAGGCCTCAAACAAGATTTCCTTTTTTCAATAGCCAGATGTCAATTTGAACCTTTTTTTCCTCTAAATAAATAAAAAGCTTTCAGTGAGATGCCTATATTTGGAAATGTTGGTTTGAAAACTACGAAGGACTCAATTCTGGCAAACACCGCATCAAGTAGAACTCCTCTCGAGGCCATACAAGGGAACACTCATTTACCCTTAGGCAAACTATATCAGCTCGAACTCCCATGCACAATAGACATCAAATTAAGCTAACAGCCTGTATCCAACCAACACCAAGTCTTCTACTCTAATGTGGTTCATGCAGATGTTCGGTTGGCTTGAAAAAAAAATCCTCAAAGTTAAATAGATATAAGGTATGCTAAGCACTAACGCATCTTCAGTTCGGGAACAAAAAAAAGAAACTGGTAAAACAAACAGAGGATAATTGCCCTAGAGTAAATAATTTCGAAACACAGTGAAAGGCTTCTGAAAGACTGACCCAAATACATACCAGAGTCGATGACAATCCACTTGCCTCCCTCTTGCCCTTCCACACTGGGCAACAACATCCTCTTGGCTCCTTTTTGCTTCTGCTTAACCTATCCGTTTGAACCAAAAAACCACAAGGCAAATCAACAATATTTTCTTTCGATATCCGCAATAAACGCATTTAAAATCACCTAAGTAGCCGAATATCACCATTTCTAGGGTTCTTCACTTCTAAAGAGTCCCAAATCAAAAATCCAAAAAGTTTGAAAACATCACAAAATTAAACCGCTAACCAAACATTCATTGCAGTCCTCCAAATATACACTCCTTTGATGTGTGAGTGTGTGTGTGTGTGTTGGTGCTCCACATGAAACAGGGGAGAGACGAACCTGCCTTGTAAATTAGGGCTTGAGCTATATTGCGGACGTGCCAAGGGGATCGACCGGTGGCGACGATCATGAAGTCGGCGAAATCGCAGTGCTTTTTAACGGGAATGACTGTGATGTTGTCTGCTTTAACATCGCTGAGAACTTTCTCGACCTCTTGCAGGTCCAGTAAGCCTTTGTTGTCACCGATATCAGTTGTCTCAGTCAACACCGAACATAGCGTGCGATTGAGATCCGACAACCCTAACCTCCATTGTTGAATAAACGAGGAACATGATGGTGAAAGAGGAAGAGAACGAGATCTCAGAGCTGCCCACATGAGCTCGCACCAACACTCTACCAGTCCAGGGATTGCTGTGAGGTGGTTTCTGGCTGGGTCTGGGTTCGTTCATAATATATTGGAAAATTTTCAATCACACCCCTCTAGTTTACCACATCTTCAAGGATATCCCTTTATTTTCTGCATCTTCACTAACAACCCTATCAAATTAAAAATATTAACTATAATGAAATTTTATTAAATTTTTCATGACATATTTGAGGACAAACTTCATCCACACCCTATCTAGATAAGAATATCTTCAATGATACCCCCTATGTTTTATAATTCTTTTTACGTATTAAAATTCAGGTTAATTAAAATTTAATTGGCTCAAATAGAATTTTAATTAGCCCAAATTTTAATACATACAAAAATATAAATTTTAATTTACCCAAATTTTAATTGACACAAATTATAATAAATAAAAAAATATAAATTTTAATCGACTCGAAAACGAATTTTAATCGACGCTAATAACTCGGGTAGAGTTCAAACCAGTTCAAATTTTAATACGAAAAAAAAAATTTAATAAGCTCAAATTTTAATACGTTAAAAAAATAAAATTTCATCAGCTTCAATCGAATTTTAATTGTTTCAAATTTTAATATGTAGAAAATTAAATTTTAATCAGCTTGAAATTTTAATAAAATTTTATGTAGAAAAATTACCTGATGTTTATGTAGGGGCATTTTTGGTATTTATATGAAATTTTTTTGTTAGAAATAATAGTTTAGTGGTATGAGGTGTCAGTGATATTTAAATATAAACTAGAAGAGGTGTTAGTAATGTTTTTGATAATAAAGGAGGTGTATTTAAAGATATAGTAAACTAGGAGAAGCGTGATTGAAATTTTTCCTAAAAAAATTATTTTATAAAAAATTGATGTAAGACCGAAAAATTTTACTACTGTTTTACTGTAAATAAATTTTCTTATATATATAGGAATTCTAATGCAATAAAAGCCTAAAATGTAAAAAAAAATTAAAATCCATAACAAATACTCTCTATTTTTAGAGATATGTTTCAAAAAAATTTAAAATTTAACAATTAAAATTAAGGAATATATCTACTAATCCGAGTCACGTGTGATGTAAGTCCGTCTAACCTTGACGGTGTCCAGGAAAAAAATTATAGTGTACTTCTAAAATTTAGTATATTAATGGATATTTTTATAATTTGTGGGTCATTTTGAAATAAAAAAATTTATAACTTTTGTAATAATTATTTTTATTACTTTTTGTAGTAGTTGCTGCGATCCATCCTGACAAATTTTTTATCTTATTACCAAATTTGGTTTTTTTTTCTGCCAGACCACGAAACCTAGTTACCAATCTGTTGTGCACGCAAAAGGAAAATGAACTTGCCAAGAGCCATTTGGAATTATTCCAAGTTAAATTATATAAGATACAAAATTGAAGTGAAGGGTACCACTAGGGCTATCAAAATTTGATACTATACGAATCGACACGAATTAAACGGGTTTGGGTGAGATATTAACGGGTTTAAGTAATAAACGGGTTGACACGCCAAACACGTTTAATAAACGGGTCGTGTTCGTGTGAGACCTGTTAAACCGTTTATCACACGTTTACCCGTTTAAATAAAATTAATATAATAATAAATTAATAATTATTTAGAAAAATTAACAAGAAAAAAAAAGTAAACAAATCAATAAAAAAAACAAATAAAGTAATAGTTCAAAAGCAAAAGAGAGGAGGCGAGGAACACTTCAAAGACAAACGCAAGTCTTATTTGTCCCATATTGAAAAATGAGAGGAGATGGGGAGGGTTGATTTGTCTATAAAAAAACAATGGTCTCTTACTTTTATTTTTTAAGCCTTCAAGTCTTATTTGTCCCACATTAAAAAATGAGGGGAGATGGTGAGAGTTGAGTTGCCTATAAAAAACAATGATTTCTTACTTTTTTTTTTAAGTCTTCAAAGTCTTATTTGTCTCACGTTGAAAAATGAGGGGAGGGGAGATAGGGAGGGTTGAGATGCCTATAAAAAGTAATGGCCTTTTATTTTTTTTTTTAGGCCTTCAAGTCTTTTTTTTATGAGATTTGACTAAAAAAACTTTTTTTTGAGGGAAGTGCAATTGGCAATAAAAAAAATAGAGTATTAAAATTTGTTAATATAATTTTTTTAAAATTAAACGGGTTAAACGAGTCGTGTTGTGTTACCCGGGTCATTCGTGTTAAGATTTTTACGCGTTTATTAAACCTGTCGTGTACGGATTTATATATTTTTCACCTGTTTAACCCGACACATTTGACACCCCTAGGTACCACCTAAGCTAAACAATTCCAAGCTTTTAATTGTGTCATGTACAATCACCATTGGCCCAATCCTACTTTTATTGAGGCCATTTATAGCTAATAAAATGCCTATTGCTACTAGTACCCAGGAACTAAGATTAGGAAATCAAGCATTTGGGCTAAGATTTTTTGCATTGAGAATGAGGGAGGATGGATAACTGTATATGATTTTAAATATCACAACAAATGCTATGCATCCAGAGAAATTTTTTGAAAGTCAAAAAAAAAAAAAATACATAAAGTTTGATGGCTCCTTTCAATTTGTGTTATTTTATTTGTTTAAGCCAAAGAAAAATACAAACTTACATTTCAAGCTCACCCTTGCCCTTAAAAAAAAAAATAATAAGTAAAGTTTGATGGCTGTGGGCAGGGCAGCCAAGTGAA